AGGAAAGGGAGCACCGGGAGACGGACCAGGGCAGAGAGGTAGAGAGGGGGGAGGGGGGGGGGGGGAGTCCAGGTCAGTCATCGCCGACGTGTTCTCATAAAGGATGGGAATAAACTTTCTGAAGATTTGACGTTTTTAGGAGTAAAAAATGAAAGAGTACATGGACGTGGAGCCTTCTCCTCACCGAACAGCTGTTGGCGAAGCACCTCACTGTCAGTGAGGGGGTGAGCCAGAATGGGGGTGCCCAGTGTGGCTCCTGGGTATGGGAGGCGTGCCAAAGGAGACCCTGACGCCAACGGGTCCATCAGGGGGTGAACCCCGCCCGCCGCTGGATGCCAATGATGTAATAGAAAATACAGGAGTTATTTAATATGAGTAAAGCATCGGTGAGTAGTTGACGCAGGACTGAGATATTCTTCTAGTATTTCTTAGTATTTGTCGTACTTAAGATGTTGTTGGTTTGTACTTGTGTTTGTCGTTTTGTGTGTTTGTTTTGTGAGGAGACGACTTTAAAGGAAGGAATAAAAATGATGAAAATATCTCTGGTACACATGGTACTGTCTTCATCTAATGTTCCTGTTGTTGTTTAGCATTCCACCCCCCTCCAAAAACATGTCTGCACTGACTGCTGACTTTAGGGTTAGTTAGTTTGTCCACCCCCCCTCCCCCCAGACGTGGAGTTTCTCACTGCTGTAAATTCAGTTCCAGGGACTGTATTCCAGTTCCTGTTGTTGTGTTTTTGTTCATATATTTCACATATAACAAAGTGTTATTTCCAGATCTGGATGTGACGGTGCAGTGACGGTGCAGTGACGGTGCAGTGACGGTGCAGCGACGGCGTCATTAGTACCAGTGAGTACCTGTGTCTTGCTGGTGCAGGTGGAGATGCGAGTGGATGTGCGAGTGCTGGTGATGATGAGGTGTCACGTTGAGCATCTGAAGACGTCCCAGATTCTCTCCTCCACTTCCTCCACCTGATCCTCCTCCACTTCCCCCGCCGCCTCCTCCTCCGTTTCCTCCTCCTCCGTTTCCTCCTCCTCCGTTTCCTTTTCCCCCTCTTCCTCTCTCTCTTTCTCGTTCTCTTTCTCTCCCCCCAAAGGGCGGCACCGCCGCTCTGTCCCGCTCCCGCTCTCGCTCCCGCTCCCGTTCTCGTTCCCCACTCCTGTCTCGCTCATACGAGGCGGGTGAGCGGCTGGGGGTGGGGTAGGTCTCCGGGGGAGCTGCCGGAGCAGGGGCCGGGGGCAGGTGAGAGGACAGGGAGCTTGGAAAAGAAGACTGAGGGACCGGGTGATGAAGAGTGTTGGCGTTGGAGGTCGGAGGAGCAGGTGGAGGAGGAGGAGCTGCTGGTGGAGGAGCAGCAGGGGCGGCCGGGACTGGGGGGGCAGCGGATTGCGCCGATGACGGGTGAGAGGGGAGTGAAGGTGGGAGGATGGATGAAGGAGGAGGATTGGATAAGGACTGTGGAGCGGGGGGGTTGGGAGGTCGGGTCACTGAAGTCAGGGTTGGGTTCTGAAGGTGCTGGGGTCCGGGTGGAGCCGAGGGGGGAGGGGTGCTGTAGAGGGATACCTCATTGGATCCCCCCGAGCCTCCTCCAAGGAGCAGTGAATGAGCGTGTACGTGAGAGCTGGCGTGGGCGTGGGCGTGGGCGTGCGAGTGTGAGTGAGCGAGGGCCAGGGCCGAGGGGTCGTGGATTGACCCCGGGGGGTACATCCGCTCATCGCTCTTAAACTCAAACCCCGGTTTTATCCGATCTCGGTGTGCAGCCATGGCATGAGGAAAACCCACTCCTGCCAAGCCCGCCCCCCCGATCCCTCCGGGTAAGTGGCCTCCCGCCACCCCTGGATGACCACCCACCCCGTGGCCCCCTTCAAGACCACCGCCGTATAAAAAACCCAGGATGGCTGCTGCTGTGGCCGCGTCGGCGGGCAGGTGGTGGGGGTGGCCCAGGCCGTGATTGGGGATCTGTGGAAGGAAGAATGAGGGGTGGACGTGGGGGTGTCCGTGATGGACCTGCTGGTGGTGGGCCTGGGCCCGGGCCGCAGCTCCCAGCGGGGACATTGCGTGAGGACGGGCGTATTCGCTCAGGGTTCTCAGCGCCGGGGTGTCTGGGCCCAGGTAGGGCCCTCCCAGGCCGATACCCAAGGCCCCCTGTGGGCCGCCGACCAGTGCTGAGGCCCCACCCATGGACGGTAGGAGGATGGAGTGGGGAATAGAGTGAGAGAGGGAGGGGTGGAGGTGATGAGCTGCAGGAAGGTGCGCGTGAGGATGTGAGTGGTGATGCTGAGCGTGAGAGTGAGCGTGAGCGTGAGCGTGAGGGTGGGAAACGGGGTTGCCTGAGGAGGAGGAGGACGAAGGGTCAAGAATAATCGAGGAGGAGGAGGGAAAGAAGAGGGAGGAACCTTGGCGCCCCCCGCCAGCATTGTTGATGTCTTTTTGCTGCTGTGGAGGAAAAACAGAAAATGAATTTGTGTTAACGATGAATTCCTCCTCATCCCATTGGTCGATCACGTCCATCCACATCACTTCATTCTGACTGTTGTGTACGACTGTAGTGTTGTTGGGCTGTACTCACCTGTAGGTGTCGGTCCAACTCCCTCTCCCTCTCCCGCTCCCTCTCTCAAGCTCGCCTAGCAACTGCATCTCACAATGATACGACTGGTTCTTTATGACAACCAACAGATTAATAACATGGTTTTTAAAAGAATTGTACCTCCATCTGCCATATCAGCACATCTGGTTTACCCTGGGGCAAATGCAAAACATGCTCCATTATCACAGCAACCTTGAACATTAGTATAAAAACCCATAAAATAACCCTTATAAGTAATGGCATCTTATGAGGAACAAGATAAACCTAACATTACAATGTCAAAATATAACCAAAAATAACTGCCTTTTTGACAACCCAGTGCTCACACTGCATTTTAACACTGCTGTACTGTGGCATTAATCAACAAGATGCCAACAGCATGTTTAGAAATGAGGGCCACATCGTGTAGATTCTCCTGTCACTCTAAATATTTGTCCCCACTGCTGCCTCTCCTTTTCCCTCAGCTCTCTCGCCCTCTGCTCCACCTCCCTGCGGGCTCTTTCAATGATTTCGTTCCTCTTCTTCCACAGTTTGGAACCGTCCAGAGGGACGAAGAGGACGTCACTGCGGGCACAGGAGTTCCCACTCCCACGGTCCAGGACCTTGTGGAACCTGTAACCACCGTAGAACATGTTAATCACCGTCTGTTGCCTGGATTTATGTCTGAAAAGTGTGAAAGTGTGTGATGTCAGTTGTTACCGGGCAGACTGGCTGGCATGGATGGGCACGTCCACAACTTTGGGTTCAGGAGACGGGCTTCTTAGCATCGGTGGAGGACTCTCCGTCTCTTCTCTTTCTTCTATTGGTTCCTCCTTGATCACAGGTGCGGGAGGGGGGCCCGAATCTGGACGGCCGTCTCCACTAGGGGCAGCGTTGGAGACACTGTTGTTGGCAGGGTTATTTAGAGGAGGGGGTCCTTTGGACACGTTATGAGGCGAGAGCGACTGGGCGTTGGCGTTACTGTTAGCAACACCGACGTTGCTAACGTTGCTGCCATTAGCGTGGTACGCTCCACTGAACGGAGGGTGGTTGGTTAAAGTGCCGTGAAAAGGTGAGGGGCGGCAACCTGGGGAACAGCTGGACGACACAACTGCCCCAGGAATAGGTATGCTGGGGGCAGAGTTGGAGCCGGAAGGAAACGAGGAGTATCCTCCGATCTGATTGGTGGACGGACTGGATAAGGGGGAATGAGGTGTGGGCGGAGTCTGGGTGGAGGGTTGGTAGTGTTGGGGGCGAACACCGGACGTCATGGTGGATGGAGGTGGCGGGGGGTGGGGGTTCTGAGGGGGGGCTAAAGGAGGCTGAGGCTGTGGAGGAGGATAGGGGGCGCTGGACGGGTGGACGTGATGAGCTGCCGAGGAGGAAGGAGAGAGGGCGGGAGGTTGGTTTGGGCCTCCGCGGGTTTGGTACAGAGCAGCCTCCTGAATGTTCGAGTCCCTCTCTCTGTCCCTTGATGCCGAGTGGAGGTGTGAGTGAGGGTGAGAGTGCTGCCCCCCCCCCGGAGCTGGGTACTCTCGCCCCAGGTTTGGATTCACCCCCGGGGAGCTGAGGTACTCCCTGTTTGTGCTGGCAGAAGGGGGCGCTGCAGCAGGAAAGTCTTTGGCCCCCGTAGGAGGGTATTCTCTGTGAAAGTGATCGGCCCCGGGGGGGGCAGTTTGTGCCTGGTTGACTAAAGCGGGGAATTCTCGAATGGATGAATTTAGGGGATGTGGGTGAGAATGGGGAGGCAGGGGGGAATGGGAGGGGTGGCTGGAATTACTTTGGGGTGAGGCAGGTGGGTCACGGTTGAGCAGGGGGGTGACAGGAAGTCCATTGGCTGAGCTTGGGGGGTTCCCCTGGGAAATGGAACTGTTGTTTGTGTTACTGTTACCTACAACCTCCCTCCCGTGCCCCCCAAACTCACCCCACCTGCCTGTGTCTTTGTCTCTCCCGTGCCCCCCCCCAGCTCCATTTGGACCGAAGTCTCTCTGACCTTGGCTGGACAGAGGGAACTCTCGTCCTCCGTCCTGATCCTTGTCCCTGTCTCTGAAGGACCCAGGACCAAAGTCTCTTCTGTCAGGACCCAGGTTCGGACCCTCTCTGCTGGAGCTCTGCAGTTCTCGGTTTTGACCCGGCAACCCCCCAAAGTCCCTGGTCTGTATGTTGTTGGGCCCACCACTGCCCCCCCCAACAGTGTTGTTGTTGTTGTTGTTGATGGGAGGAGGGAACTCTCTCCCACCGCTCTCCACCCTAATGCCCCGCTCCCTCTCTCCTGCAGCCCCCCTCTCCTTGTCTCCTCCCCCTCCAGCATACCTGGGGAGGTACTCCCTGTGGGGGTGAGGATGAGGGAGGTAGGCGGGGAGGGAGGAGGAGTGACGGGAGGACGGAGGGTTGTAAACAGAAGGAAGTTGCTGCTGTTGGACCGGGGGCTGGTGCTGTGGGTGGTGGGGGTTGTGGTTGCCGGGGTAACGGTTGTAGCCCCAGCTTCCCTGGCAACCGGTCGCTGCTCCACCCTGCCAGCTGGTGGTGCTGAAATGGTGAGTGTGGGTAGAGGACTGCGTCTGAGGCTGAGCCTGTGGTTGGGGGCCCGTCTGTGGCAGCAGTGAGGGGGGCGTGGTCTGAGCCTTGTCCAGGAGCTTGTCTGCTTTTTCTGCTTTGTCCCGCTCCGTCTTCACCTCAGCGGGCAGGGTTTGAGCCCCGATCTCCAAGGGCTTCAGAGCAGGTGGAGGTGGCAGGGGAGGGGGCAGGGAGTGTGCAATGTTGGGGCTGTGATGGGAGAACTCCCCAGTGGAGATCGCCGTCTTGATCACACACTGAGCGCCGGCTTTGGAATTGATTCGGTTTCCGCCGAGAGCCGAATCAGCGCCACCTAGCCGACCGTAGTCGACCTTACACATCAGTTTGGAGTCCAGGCCAAAATAGGACTTCCTCCCGTTATTGCTGTCACTGGACGAGTCCTCCGCTCCACGCAGAGTGGGGGTCAGACTAGAGGAGGAGCAGGGGGTGGAGGGGGGCTTCAGAGGGGAACACTCTTCAATTCTTGCATCCACATCTCGCTTTTCTCCATCTCCACGGGAGTCCTCCCCTCGCCCCTCTCGTAACAACCTCCGCTCCTCCCCTGTCACCTTCCCCACACTCTCCTCCTTGTTCTTGTCCCGTTCCCTCTCTCCGTGCTTTGGTGAATCCGGCCCGTCAGAATCAGAGTCCAGGCTGCCCAGGGGGGAGGCAGAGAGGCTCGGGGATGAGGATCGATTGTCCTGGTCTATGTCTCGCCCGCTGCTCAGACTGCTGCTGCTATTGGCCAGGCTCCCCACCACTGAACTCCTGCTGCCCTGGGATTGGCCATCCTCGTTGTCACTTTCACGGGATTGGCTGGCAACTGAGGTTGAAGGTGGGACGGTGGAAGGAGCCAAGCTGTCAGTGGAGTGTGTTGATGTTGGAGGGTTTGGTGCAGAGACCGAATCCTAACAAGAAAAGATCAGTTGTGGATAAGAAAAAAAAAAAAAGAATTTCACTGCTGTGACCGTGAGGCTGTGAACGGAAATCTGTCACTTTAAAATGTTGGAGTGAAGACGGCGGAGATTTAAGACGAACCTGGACTTTCTGCCTCTTCGGAGGAGACACGAGTTCCTCCCCCTCACTCTCTGATGAATCATGCCCTTGTGATCTGCGACTGAAGCGATTTCCAGCCAACTCCTCAACAGCACCTCTTTGCTAAAAACACAAAGGACTTTAGATTCTCCAGTGATGCTTTTGAATACCTAATAGGCCTGTGTGTGCGTTCAGAACAAAGCCACACTCCACCAGGCGTGTGCACGTGCACGTGCACAAACACACATGTACAGCATGAAAATGTTTTTTTAAAATATATTTACTCTGTAAACGACATGGTCACATAAAAGGAACAGCTGATCAAACTGACCACGTGCACGCTCACACTGTACCCTACAGACCCTCGACCTCTGACCCACGTGCACATGCTAACAGAGGAGCAGGGTGAAAAGGTGCGCTCTCACCGCCTGTCTGTCGTTGCGCTCAGGCCGAGTGGGGCTGGGGTGTGGGCGTCTCCCCCTCCTCTCCTCACTCGCCCCCCGCCGTCGGCCACTGCGCATCGGCATCTGCAAAGAGAGGAGAGAAATGGAGAAAATATGAACGAGGAAGTAGAGAAAGTCAAACACAGTACAGTACAAGTTAAAGGCGGAAAAGTACATGGAGTACTGCAGTACTGAAGAAAAAAAAATTCATCTGCGTGAATAAAAAAAGAAAAAAAATAGACTAACAGTCGAGGAAAGGCAGGGAGGAAAGAAAGAAAGAGTTCTAAAATATTAGTCATAATAAATCAATTCAGTGTCATGAAGTAATACTACAACATGTACTGCACACAGAGTGGCGGTGCGTACCGATTCCTTGTGTGTCCGTGTTTTCATTCTTTCTTCGTTATGAGGTCGATCTGACAACAGGCCATGGTACGGACTCAACTGGATCCTGGTTCTGAATGACTGGACTAGTGTTCAGTCCTGGGAGTGACACAAAACCTGGAAACAAGCACAGTGACAAAAGAAAAGAAGTTAAATATCAAATAACAACAGCTAGCATGTAGCCACGAGCGCAGGATGACTCCTGTCTGCCCCCGGTGTTGGGTTCAAATCCAAGAATTACAGGAATTCTTCTGAAGTATTTGGTTCATTTCCCAACTCAGCTTTCAAAAGTAGAGAATATCAAGAAGTAAATAGAAAATAAAGACATAAGACACATTTTGAGTTAGTGGTTCTCAAAGTGGGGGGCGAGGCCAACCTTGCAGACACAGAGTGGGGGCTCAACAAAATGTTCAGGAACCACTAGTTAAAGAGCAAAATGGTGAGGATGTTTTTGGAGGAAACACACAGAGTATTACAGTACTGTGCAGTAAAAACACCTGAAATACTGCTAATGAGTAGTACATGAATCAAAACTGTGAACGCGAAATATCTATGACCTGAGAAAAGTTTCTAAAAGCAGTTCCTCCAGAACATTTAAATTCTCGGCTCAGCTCCAGTTTCCTCTTCCACAGCAGCCGTGACACAGGTGAAGTCGTTCACTCCTGACTCAGAGAGACAGGAAGGAAAAAGACGCAGCCCTGAGACGGTGGGACGAAGACAGACGACTTCACCTCAAAATGAGGTCACGCCTCCTCCAACACACCTTCACCAACAACCACCCCGACCCTCAGAACCTGAGAACCTCAGAAGAGTCACATGGTGTTGATAACATCTGTTAGTCCACAGCCCAGGTGGACCGCTCTACAACACTGGTCCATTTATTCACTGACTGAAGTATCTCCTCATCTGTCATCTCCTGATCTGTCCTCTCCTGCTCTGTCCTCTCCTGATCTGTCCTCTCCTCAGCTGTCCTCTCCTCATCTGTCCTCTCCTGCTCTGTCCTCTCCTGATCTGTCCTCTCCTGGTCTGTCCTCTCCTCATCTGTCCTCTCCTGATCTGTCCTCTCCTGATCTGTCCTCTCCTGCTCTGTCCTCTCCTGATCTGTCCTCTCCTCAGCTGTCCTCTCCTCATCTGTCCTCTCCTGCTCTGTCCTCTCCTGATCTGTCCTCTCCTGATCTGTCCTCTCCTGCTCTGTCCTCTCCTGATCTGTCCTCTCCTGATCTGTCCTCTCCTGATCCCGTATCAATCTCCTCAGTCATTGATCAGTTCTTGATTTTTTTTCCCCCCAATTCCCAGTCCCGTATCGTTGTCCCGTATCGTGATACGTATCGTATCGACAGATTCTTGACGACTCACACACCCTTTTAGCACGACTAACTCCCCATAAACACATGTTCTGTACACACAGTATACATGAGTGTGACTACAGCTCTGCTGAACACACTGCCCCCCCCACTCCTGCTCCCCCCCACTCTACTTATGGCATTCCATTATGACTACACACTGCAGTGACTCACTCCGTCCTATGGGTAAAATGTTGGACAATTCCATTCAGTTCACACCAAATCATAAAGTTAAAGTTAAAGCTACACCGAGGTCAACTGTTACCCCAGGGGCAGGCAGGGGCAGAGACAGGGACAGGGGCAGAGGCAGGGGCAGGGGCAGAGACAGGGACAGGGGCAGAGGCAGGGGCAGGGGCAGGGACAGGGGCAGGGGCAGGGGCAGAGGCAGGGGCAGGGACAGGGGCAGGGGCAGGGGCAGAGACAGGGACAGGGGCAGAGGCAGGGGCAGGGGCAGAGACAGGGACAGGGGCAGAGGCAGGGGCAGGGGCAGAGGCAGGGGCAGGGGCAGGGGCAGAGACAGGGACAGGGGCAGAGGCAGGGGCAGGGGCAGGGGCAGAGACAGGGGCAGGGGCAGGGGCAGAGACAGGGACAGGGGCAGGGGCAGGGGCAGAGACAGGGGCAGGGGCAGGGGCAGGGGCAGAGACAGGGACAGGGGCAGAGGCAGGGGCAGGGGCAGAGACAGGGACAGGGGCAGAGGCAGGGGCAGGGGCAGAGACAGGGGCAGGGGCAGGGGCAGGGACAGGGGCAGGGGCAGGGGCAGAGACAGGGGCAGGGGCAGGGGCAGAGACAGGGGCAGGGGCAGGGGCAGGGGCAGAGACAGGGACAGGGGCAGAGGCAGGGGCAGGGACAGGGGCAGGGGCAGGGGCAGAGACAGGGACAGGGGCAGAGGCAGGGGCAGGGGCAGAGGCAGGGGCAGGGGCAGAGACAGGGGCAGGGGCAGGGGCAGAGGCAGGGGCAGGGACAGGGACAGGGGCAGGGGCAGGGGCAGGGGCAGGGGCAGGGGCAGAGGCAGGGGCAGGGGCAGAGGCAGGGGCAGGGGCAGGGGCAGAGGCAGGGGCAGGGACAGGGGCAGGGGCAGGGGCAGAGACAGGGACAGGGGCAGAGGCAGGGGCAGGGGCAGAGACAGGGACAGGGGCAGGGGCAGGGGCAGAGACAGGGGCAGGGGCAGGGGCAGAGACAGGGACAGGGGCAGAGGCAGGGGCAGGGGCAGAGACAGGGACAGGGGCAGGGGCAGGGGCAGAGACAGGGACAGGGGCAGAGGCAGGGGCAGGGGCAGAGACAGGGACAGGGGCAGGGGCAGGGACAGGGACAGGGGCAGGGGCAGGGGCAGAGACAGGGGCAGGGGCAGGGGCAGAGGCAGGGGCAGGGGCAGAGGCAGGGGCAGGGACAGGGGCAGGGGCAGGGGCAGAGACAGGGACAGGGGCAGTTCAGGTGGCAGAGGAAAATACAACTTCTAACTCTATTCATAGGCTAATTAAATAGTTTTAATATCAACACAGTATCAACGCAGTATCAACGTAGTATCAACGCAGTATCAACGCAGTATCAACACAGTATCAACACATGGGAACGACTGATCTATGAAGTACTGCAAAGACAAAATACTGGAGTACTAACTATATCCCTTTGTCTGTGGAACTGTAACAAACACAGTACACGTACAACTGCCACCCTTCAGAAATATTTGCCCCACTCCAACAACAACAACAACCAACAACAACAAACAACAACGGCGCTCATTAACAACCAACACCCAAAGTCACTGTACAAGATCTGGAAACAACTAGTGGAGGGGGGAGGACGGGGCAAAAACACAATGGGGTGACAACCAATGTGTAGTCTACATGGTGTAGTCTACATGGTGTAGTCTACATGGTGTAGTCTACATGGTGTAGTCTACATGGTGTGGCCCAAATAAAAACCATTAAAATCAAACATTTGAAATAAGTGACGTCTCCACAGAATTCCAGTGTACTCCCTAGGAGGGGGGAGGACTGTAGTATCTGTGTGTACTGTAGTATCTGTGGTATCTGTGTGTACTGTAGTAGTACAGTAGTAGTACAGTATGTACATCCAAACATGGGAAACCTGGTCTTCATTAGTTTTAAGAGAATACTTAGTACTAACATGTACTACTACCACATGATACCAGCTCATAAATACCCCCCCCCCCCCCCCCTCCTCCACTGGTGTCTACTGCCTCCCTTACAGGTGGTGGCAGGGCCACTGTAGACTCCCAGTGTCCTCACCTGCATTATCATGACGGCTCTGTTGCATGCTGGGTCACACACACACACACACACACACAGGCGTGGACACAAACACTAATCAACAAATTCCACTTCATGTGATGCATCAGCAGCAGCAGCAGCAGCAGCAGCTCTGCCTCCTCCACCTCTGCATCGACACCTTCTTTCTTTCTACCTGCAGACGTTACTGGTGCACAGGTAGAGGACGGGGCTGATGCACGGTCCGGTCGACCCACGGCCGCGGCGGAACACGGTCTCCTAACCACGGCAGCGAACGGATTCCAGAGCAGCCTCACTCCCAGACGTCGCTGACATCTTTGGAGAAAAAGATGACACGGAATGGCGAACCGTGGCTCCGCTCCGCTCCGGCTCCCGTCGCCTTCCCTCTTCCCTCTCCCTCTCAGGCTGGAACGTGGCCGCGCGTCGTGCTCTTCTCTCCGTCCGCACTCACTCACCGGGACGTCATTTTCCTGCCCTGGCGCAGGAGCGTGATGGTAATGAAGGCACAAAGGGGTGTGGGAGCCCACAGATGGAGGGAGAGGGCGCACAAACGTGGCTAGCAGCAGAAGCTCCAGATGCACAGTACAAGCATCCACCCCCCCACTCAACCACCCCCCCACTCCGCACCTCCCCTTCTCCTCCTTACCTATAGTCTCCAGCGATGTGTGCTCCCACTCTGCCTTTTCGCTCTCTGTTGTGTGGCTCTATGGTGCACGCTGACACGCAGCAGCAGCAGCAGCAGCCACAGCCGGGGCTGCTTACGGATGGG